CACGGTAACTGTCTCTGGAAAAGCCATCCCTTTGTTTATGGGTGTGTGTGGTTGTGCATGTGTGTGCCTGAGCATGTGTGTCACATTGTGCACACATGTGTTAATGTGTATCCAAGTGTCTGAGAGCAGAGGCAGAGGGAGAATTTTTTATTGCTGTCAAATTCCATCCTTCCACTCGGCTCCTACAGACCAACAGTGACAGCACCAATGATTATATTAGCGATAACTAAACTTTTTGTGCAGGACCTGAAAATTTAATTTCCTTGTGGGAAGCGGTAGAGAACTAAGCTTATTTGGGGCCAAGAACTCATGAACTTTCCCAGAAAAGAAATAGAGAACAGCAGATATAGCCACTGGCCTCTGATTTTTCTTGAAAAATAAAAAGGCACAAGCTCATGTTTAAATGCCACCTTTGGAAACAGCTCCAGATTCTTTTTTCTCTGTATCTAACCCACATCAGAGTGGGTAGGAAGACATAGCAGCCCTTGAAAAATCATTGATTTCATTCCGATTTATTCCATGATCTGTGATTTTTTTTTCTTTTTGTTTAAAGAAGTATACTTCCATCATTTTTTTTTCTTCTCAAGTTGCTTGGATGGTCAAAACCCTGATAATATGTACTGCATGTTCACCATGTACTAGGAACTGTTTTAAGAGTGTTTGCATGCTTTATCTCAGCTAATGTTTCCACTTTGAAGATCAGGAATCTGAGGCACAGAGAACATAAGTAACTTGCCTAGGGTCACACAGACATAAAATGGCAGAACTGGGATTTAAACGCAAGTAATGTAGCTGCAATGCTCAAGATCTTAACCATGCCACCATATAGCCTGATAATTCTGGAACTCTCCTCCTGGTGTCTGAGTATATGAGTTCTTTGAATACAAGCAATAAATACCACCTCTGCTTAACTTAAGCCAAAAAGAAACAAAGCAGAAGGAGAGGAGCGGCACATGATCCACGGTTTCGAGAGGCAAAATCCCAGGACAGCCTGTTTGTCACCATCTTAGTCGGAGCTCATCCCTTGAGTAGGGTTGGGCTGGGGACCTAAGCTAACCATCCCAGGTTGCTTGTGAAGAAATGGAGGCTGTGCCACCAGACCAAGAGGATATGGATACAAAGCAGGAGGAAATGAGGCACATATATGCTACCATGTCTCCAAGAAAGGAACAGATCCGAATGGAAGCTGATTAATTTGAGGTTGAATTCTGATGTAAACTTGGTATCAACAGATTGACATTCAGGTATTTTTTAAATGATAAAGTGATCCACCCTTAGAATTCATCCATTCGCTCAACTGTGAATGTTCTTTCACTAAATAGTCCTTATTGTATCCAAGTAGGGTACTGGGAGATTCACTGTTCCCAAAGGGCTCCCAAAGAATGTTCACGTGGGAACATCAGACATGCGCCCATTCATGTTCCAAGCTCCATTACACATCATTGACAATCAGACGCAGGGGTAGGCTCTGGGCGTACAGCAATGACAAGTCAGACACAGTCCTTACACTCCATGAGGCATATGCTCTGCGTGCCTAATCTTTCAGGAGATATGACAGACTGGAATGAGCATTACGATGAGGCAGTGAAGTGGTCTGGGAAGGCATATCACAGAGGAATGCAACTTGGAACATGCTGGATAGTTTCCATTTGCCACTCCCAGATCTATTTTCCACCTATTTCTATCCTTTTTTGCACCCCTACAAGGATCACACTTATGCATCCGAAACAGGATCTTTTGTCCACTGGCCCTGAGCTAGATTTAACCAGTGGGGGCACTGGCAGGAGACTGGAGAAGAGAAGGAGAACAAGGTGGAGGCATTTATTTGCCTAGCTCCCTCCCTCACAGGTGGCTATAAGTTGGCTGCTTCCCTCTGCATGAGGCTACAGGTCCCATGAGGTTCCCTGACCTACATCCCTGCAGCTACCACCACCTTCTCCTGGCCCCAGTAACTGCTCCCTCCACAGCCTGTTCTAGCTTAGCAGGGCGAATGGCTGCCAGGCCTTCTTAGCTCCTACTTTCCTTGTCAGATTCCCTTAATTCTGCCCACACTTTTGGGGAAAGCCCCTTTATTTACTTCGTTTGAGTGAACCATGTTTTCTACAGGGGGAAGTAAGGTTTACCTGGGAAGTGACGTGAAAGTGGATACATACAATTGAAGCAACAATAGTGGATGATAATACATGTACATTAGGTGACCTGCAGAGCAGTTTAGTCCAAAAAGCAACTACCATGTGAGTTCTGTCAAAGAACTTTTATTCTTAGATGTACTAATTCAATATTGTAAATATTATGGTAAAATTAGTTGGGGGATGCCAAAGAAATACCCAGAGTTAATGCGATTAACCCCCCTACATGAGCACTGTGGGATGTCTGCCACCTACACAGCCAAGGTACGCTCCTTCAGGTGTCTCCTGCCCCCGATCACAGCTGACTAAACCACAGGTAGGCAGACACTGGGTCTAAGCTGGGCCAATGAGTTTCCCCTTCTTTGGGTACTGAGGCTCAAGAATGTTCCTCCTCTGCCGGCCGATTCTGAGGATAAGCAGAGGCCAGAGCTCCAGGTCACACTTGCCATCACTGCATACAAACATGCAGCAGTGGGCTACTGAGCATGTACGGTCCTCGCTTATTTGTGTGTTTTTAACTCAGTCTCCTGGCAGAGGGCAATTACAATATTTCTTGAAGGGGCAGCTTTTCTAATGGGTACAATTGGGCTATGGGCAATTGGGCCATGGGGAGGGCTGAGTATCCTCATGTCACACGTCCACCAATGCAGTGAAAGCCAGTCCAGAGAGAGAAGAGGCGAGGCAGAGATTCAGAAGAGCCAGAGACGAGAGACTATGGCACCTGAAGACGTGAGAAACTGTGAGAGCATGTCCCCCGGGCGCCTGTTCCACTTCGGTCCAATCAGCCATTTCCAACGCTAGCTTCCATAAGCTGCCTCTTACAATCAGTTCCCATAATTTGCTGAGCAAGCTTGAGCAACTTTCTGATACTTGTCTAGAGGGATAACATTTCTAAGCTATTAACCAATATGCTCTTTATTCTACAATGTCCTTATACCCCTGGGCTGTTCCCCTTTTTGCGTTTCGCCCAGCAGTCTGCCTTCGTTCCCTCAAGGAACAGCTGACATAAGAGAAAGCAAGGGGGGACCAAAAAAAGAAGCTAATGATTAATTTTGAGCTTCAAGGGCTTAAGCACAGGCAAATAGGATGGCTACATGCACAAACAACATATCTGAGAGAATGTAAGTGGAGTAAAGGTAAGGCATCCTATTCCCAGAATAGAAAGATGTCCCTAGGCTGGAGAGTAAGGGGGGAGGGAGAATAGAGATCAATTAGGACCTAATCTGTAGGACGCAAGGACAAGGTGGAAAAGTGTGTAGAGATGGCTCAGGCTCTGCTTGAGTCAGCACTGTGCTTCTGTATTGCCCAAGAGCTATGCAGAGAACTATAGATGCCCAGGGTGCATTCTACTGAGCACCATGTTTCCTGAGCTAAAGCACCTGGGAAAATCCCCCACTGACTGCAGAAGTGAGGTCCATCAGACTCTGATACTTTCTTCAGTCCACTCTGACCCACCTGCCCTCTGTGGCACCACAGACCACCCAGTGACTGGCTCAGCAAGCACTGTACACAGTATCGCCGGAGTAGCAGAATCAAGGGATGCGACCACTTAAGAGAGCTCATAGTTCTCTAAGTTCAGCAAGAAATGACACTTGATAAAAAATATCATTTTATCTTTGTGGGCAAGCTGAGAAAATGAGGGTGAGATGGCAGCACATTTGGGGGAATTGGGAACCATCTGAACAACCAGTGAGGTAGAAGCTTGATTAATGATGCCAGGGTCAACTTTGAAAGCAGTCTCTGTCCTCAGCTCTGTCCTTTGTCCTCAGCTCTGTCCTACTCAGGTGACAGCTAATCAAAGTAGAGGCCATTTCCTGACTCAGCACAAAGAGAGTCATGATCCACAGCAAGGTCTGCCATGGCTGGGACATGGCACCCGGCACACGCTCCTGGCATCTGCGTTCTCTGCCCTCTATCATAGCACACCTGCCACACCTCCTTTTTTCCTGCGCGCAGACCACCCGGAAGTCAGTCTATGGCTTACTTTTTGTGTTGCAAGTACCAGTAAGCCATCCAAGCAGACTTCAGAAAAAAAAGAAAGGTCTATTAAAAGGATACAGGGTATCTCCAAGAACCCAGGAGAGGAGTTCATCTGGATTCTTTCCTAGGCACGCTACCACAATGAGCAAAATCTAATAAGCTAGACGATTCTGTGGTTGGATTTTTAAAAACTCCAACTGCACCAATCCTAGAAGGGAAGGAATGCAGCTTGATGCTAGCACATGTGACAAAAACACTTAGGATTTTGACTGCCAGCTCAGAATGAGTCAACAATGTGATGTGACTGCCAAAAAAGCCAGTGTAATCTTGGGCTGCACTAAACAGAGAGGAGTGATGGTGCGGCCTTCAGTTCAGAGAATCATGTATCAAGGCCCACTGAACAGAGGAGGGCGGCCAAGGAGAACTCAGAATCACACCCTATGGGGTAAAAAATAGGAGTACCTGGGATATTGCTGTCTGGCCTTCTTTTCAGGGATTGGTGGGACTGTTCTGGACTTGAGCTTGCCAGTTAGGAGTCTAGGGTTAGACTGCCAGAATTGAAACCCCAACCCAGCTACTTACTAGGTTTTTCCTACATGCCAAGAATGACATATTTATTTTCATCACTACCTTCTGAACAAATACCATCTTCATCCCTATCATACAGATGAGAAAACTGAGGAACAGAGAGGTTCAGTAGCTTGCCAAAGGTCACACCGCAAGCAAATTGAAGAACTAGGCTTTGAATGCAAGGAGAGTATACTTTCTTTGTTCTTCCCCTAAGCAGCTATATGACCTTGAATCTCGTCACTTCCAACTATGTTTCAGTTAGCCCTAGGGCTACATGATCAAGCACCCAAAAACATAAAGGCTTCAAGCAAAAACACTTACTTGTTCACAAATCTGCAATCTTCGCAGGACTTGGTGGGGACAGCTCATCTCTGCTCTACTGGCATCAGCTGGGTTGGCTCAAAGGCAGGAACAGCAGAGGATCCTTGGACATCACTCTCTGTGGAGTCTCTCCACATGCTCTCTCTAGCATAGCATCTGCAAGGTAACCAGACATTTCACATGTTGGCTTGTGGCTCCCTAGGCATACATCCTGAGACAAGTGAGAGAGCCAGGTAGATGCTTTCATGTCGTAGCCTCAAAAGTCATATCGTGTGACTTCTATCATGTCCTTAGTACCATGGGAATAACTACAGTGCTTGCTTGTAAGGATGAATTGAGACAATGCAGGTAAAATGCTTAGCACATTGTCTGGAAGCTGGTGAGGATTCTATAAATTTCAGCTGTTGTTATTTTAAAAGTGGCTCAAAAAAGACATCTTAAAAAGACAAATCTGCTACTACTACCAAAAATATGCATCACACACCCTTAAGCCAAGCAAATACCTTTTGTACACTGGTGTCTTTCCTTGCCTCCATGTAGTCAGACACTACAGCTTGCTAGTCTGGGAAGTCACACCCCATTCTCTCGCCCCGTCCCTCTGACAAACAAGGCCAGTGGTTGGAACTGCCTGGCTTGTGCTTCCCAGGAGGGGTACCTTGGCTGACTCAGCTGGGAAGGCAACCAGTGACTCATTAAGTATCAAAATTAATTAAATGTCCTCAGATCTTGGGAAGGGAGCAAATGCCCAGGAGACCCAAGACCCTCTCTTACCCCAGGATCCCAATGGTTCCTCAGAGAGGAAAACGTGGTCTTGAAGATTAACTGGGCCTTCATATGAGTGGAGGTGTTAGTCATTCTGGGTACACACACATCTCTAGCATCAGTAAGAAGAGTTGCCAGCTCCTTTCTGAATATTCAAACTCATGTCTATCCCCCCTCCTGCATCCATTTCCATGGCCTCAATTACCATCCAAGCTAATGAGTCCTAAATCCATATCTCGAACCCAGAATTATTTCCGGAGCTTGAGACCGGCCCCACTCAGATTTCCCACAGGGCCCTGAAACTCAGCATGCCTCCCTAATGTTGGATTCATCTCCTCCCCCTCACCCAGACTACGATTCTCAGGGAAGATTTCCATGGTGTACCCAGTGGCCCAAACCAGAACTCCAGCTCACCTTGACACTCCCCTGCCCTGACCCTGAGGAGTGACCCATCACAGTTCCTGTAGTTTCGACCTCCTAATCTCCCTCTGCCAAGAGTTGTCTTAGACAACATCCTCATAGCTTCTGAACCCAACTCTATCCTTCTACAAGTTTCCCCTCACTGCTGTAAGATCTCTGCCAAATGCAAACATGAGCATTGCCACTCTGTGTAAGACTCTTCAGTGACTCCCCCTTGCCTTCCAGACAAAGTCCACACTTCTTAACGTGGTTCCAACGCCTTGCTTGATCCAGTGACTATACATCTGTTACAGGCTGAATTGTGTTCCACAAAATTCATATATTGAAAGTCCCAGCCTCCAGTACTTTAGAACATGACTGTATTTGGAGATAGAGTCTTTAACAGGGTAATTAAGCTCAAATGAGGTTGTAAGTGGAGGCCCCTAATTCAATATGCCTGATGCCTTCATACAAAAAGAAAATAAGGATACAGACATGCACAGAGTGAAGCCCAGTGAAGACAAAGAGCAAAATGGCAATGACTGCCCAAGGAGAGAGGCCTCAGGAGAAACCAACCTAGCTAACACCTTGATCTCGAACTTCCTGCCTCCAGAATGATGAGAACATAAATTTCTGTTGTTTTAACCACCCAGTCAGTGATACTTTGCTCTGACAGCCCTAGCATCTCTCTCCATCACCTCCCTAAATCGCCCTCCCCAGTTTATGACGCTCTAGCTGTGCACTCCATGCCCTCTCCACTCCAGGCCAGCCCCTCTCTCACCTGGACATCTATGCTGTTCCCACAACTCTTCATCCAGCTAACTCCTTCCTCCAGGAAGCCATCCCTGACCTTTATCTTTAAGTATCTCCTAAAACACCCCCTCCTTCCCCTCTCAGAGCCCCATGTTATGACTACCCATTTACTCTGTGTCCAGGGGGGGATTCCCTGCTGAGGGATCCCCTCTAGTGCCCTTTATACCTTACCTTTCTCCAAACAGGAGGATTTATGTGTGTGTGCCAACATCAGCATCTGGTCCATCTGTACACTACATAAGGACAGGGACCATGTATCTTGCTCACACCTGTGCCTAGAACAGTGTCTGGTACCTAAAAGGTGCTCAGTTCTTTTGGATGACTGGCAATTAATGAAAATAATTCAAATAATTCAAAATTGATTATATTTAGTATTTTTTTTAAAAAAAACTAAGTTCAGAAATGTCTTAAGAGAGATTCCCAGGGAAGTCCCCTTTTGAGGGCTTAAGTTTAAAAAGCAAAGCCACTCTCTCATAAATCTGTGTTTCTTTGGCCACCAGAGACTTTGAAAGAAGGGGAGGTTTATAGGCCCTAAACAGAAGGCAGCTGATTCAAATTTAATTCATGCACCAAGGCCACACTTTAACATGTACAACATTCTGGGCTGCGGTCACACTCTGGGCCCATATCTTTGTTTCAGAAAAACTGAGCCCCAAAACTCCTCGCCATTTCACTGGGAGTCGTGAAAAGGCCCGACTGCTTCCACAACAGACAGCAAGAAGCCCTGTACCTTACAGGTAACCTATGGCACAGTGGCACATATTCATTTTGGTCTTTAAAAAAATTGATGCATAATGATTGTACATATTTACAGGGTACAATGTGATGTTTTGATACATGTACACATTGTGTAATCATCAGCTCAGGGTAACTAGTGTACCCATCCCTGACAGCATCTCTTGTTTCTTTGTAGTGGGGAACATTCAAAATCCTCTCTTCTAGCTACTTTGACATATAAAATACCTTATTGTTGACATAGTCACCCTACAGTGTGATAGAACACCAGAACATTCTGGTCTTCACCCACACTTGCTCCTGGAAGTGCTGCTCCCATCCCTACCTTAGGACAATGGACCCAGGTTTCTGGGTACAAACCACCTCCCTTACCCCATCAGCTGAGAGTGCACTGACTCTATGAGGAGCCAATATAAACCACTCTCATGTCATTTTGGCTCTAAGCATTCTCCGCTGAGATACTGGAGCTTAGCCTGCACATTACCTTTGAGGAGTGAATCGTGGTTCTCTAAATCAAGACCCATTTCTTTAGGAGAAAAAGAACCAAATTCTAGCTCCTTTTGGAGCAAGAATGATGGTCCATTCCAGACAAATTCCACCCACCAGACCTCCCAGCTCCTCCCCTCGTTCGTTTCCATCTGTGTCACTTGCCGCCATCACCTAACTTAGGTATTTGATTTATGTGCTCGTCGGCTGTTCCTCTTCCCTAATGTCCATCATCACCAGCACAGTGAGAGGATCTGTGAGGGCAAAAATTCGCTCTGTTCTGTACCCTGATATTTCTTTGACGCCTGACACATTCTTTGGTACATAATAGGTTCCCCGCGTATGTCTGCTGAGTGAATAGATATGAATAAATTAATGAATAAATACACATACACTCCCTTCTTTCCTCCACAAACACATGGAGATGAGTCTCCACTCTCATCACTACCTTGGTGACTCCTCTTAATTCCACAGCAGGGAATCCCCTCTGGTGCCCTTTATACGTTACCTTTCTCAAACAGGATTTCTGTGTGTCTGCCAACATCAGCATCTGGCCCATCTGTGGATATTGCCTGGGGCCCTATAAATGTCCCTCTAGAGTCAAGGCAGTCTCTGTCCATAGAATGAAAACAGCCATGACTTCATTGAGTCTAAAACCCACATAAACAGAACTACCAGTGGCCTGGGGTCCCTGTCCCCTGCAGGCAGATTCTCAGGTAACAAGAACCTGAGGCCAGCACCTTCGCTGTGGTGGTGTTACGGACGCTCAGGGTCCATCGGCAACTGCTGCCTCGGGATGGGCTGGAGGAGAAGTGGTGGCCTGGAGACTCTGAGGGCAGGTGGATGTGGGGCAGCAGGGAGGGTCAGGATCTGGTCTCCTGTGTTGGCTCCACCAGCCCTGGTAAGCTATTCAGACCTCCTGAGACTCACCTATGACTAGCTGCCTTGTGGGGCCATTAGGCGAAGCAGGGCGGGCTTCACAGGAGCCCATCTCCTCATCTGTTCCCTGCTCTTTACCCCAAGAGAGGGGAACAGCACTGTGGTGAGCAGCCCAGGCCAGGCCTGAATCCTCCATCTGCCACTTGCTCACTACGTGACCTCCCACAGGTTTCTAAGCCAACCTCATGCCTCCATGTTGTTTAAGGGTCTGGCACATGGTTAACGAGCAGTAATTATGAAATGTAAAAGAATGTGAGAGAGTAGGCTGATCCTAAGGTGAAACTGAGAAGAAAGCTGGGTGTGGTGCAAAGGTCGATTCTTACTGTTGGTGTCTCAGAACTTGAACATTGTCCTGTCCCACTGTTCTCCCCACTACATTTCCAGGTGGGGGTGTGCGGGCGCTATTGGTGTGTGAACCTCTGGTATGGCTGGGCTGCTGGCCTTGGGATTGCCCCCAAAAGCCGCAGGTACTAGAGCCTTTCTCTTAGTTGTGACTGAGTTGAGATCCATATGTGCTCTCCACCCTACAGAAGTGGAGTCAGAGAGATGGCAGTTTAAATCCCAGCTCTGCCACTTGGCTGTGTGACCTTGGCCAAATCAGTTACCCTCTCTGTGCCTCATTTTCCTAATGTGTAAAATGCAAATAATGATAGCTAGCACCCCTTATACTTGTTTGGTAACACATTACTGGATACATCCACATCCCAAAAACAAACCCCATGCTCTCCAGTCTCCTTGTCTTTGCATTTGGTGGTTCCTCTAACACTCTCTTCCTTCCTCATCTCTGCCTGCCAGAACCCAGACTAATCCTCAGGGCCCTGCTCAAATGACACCACTTCTAGGAAGTGTTTCCAGGTGTTTCTATCATGCGTGGCTTCCTCTTCCTTCCAGTATCCTGGACATACAACTTTTCTATGGAAGTCGCCCAGGCACAGGGTGAATGATACACGTATGTTATTTTTAGCCCTCTTCCTGACCATAAGCTTTGGAATCACATCTGGGTTTGACTCCAGCTTTGCTAC